AGAAGAAGAAGAAGAAGAAGAAGAAGAAGAAGAAGAAGAAGAAGAAGAAGAAGAAGAAGAAGAAGAAGAAGAAGAAGAAGAAGAAGAAGAAGAAGAAGAGCAGATTGTGTTTCAAATGCGGCCAAAGGAGGAAGAGAAGAAGGCCGTCTTTCCGGAAAGGAGACAAAATGGGGGCTGAAACGGGAGTCCAGGGCAACCCACAGGGGTGCGGGGTGGGGGTTTTGTAAATGTTTCTCTTTGAAAGTGTCAATTGTTCCCTTTAAACCAGGAGTGTCCAACTTCGGTTCCCCCCGTAAGACTAATGGACTTCAATTCCCAGAATTCCCCAGCCAGCCATGCTGACTGGGGAATTCTGGGAACTGAAGTCCGGAAGTCTTCAAAGGCTGGCCAAGGTTGGACTTCCCCCTGCATTAGTGCTTCATTGCCAAGGTGTGTCGAGGAACCTGGAAGTGCTGACAGATCCCTGGCCTTGGCCTTCCTGGAAGGCTCTCTGGGGCTCTGAGCTTCCAGCTCCAGGAGCAGTCTTTCCCAAGCCAGCCAGGCTCCTCCAGAGGGGAGGAGGTACCACGCAGCAGTCCCGCAAGCTGCACCGTAGTGATCCTTCAGCAGCCATGTTGGTTGCCCGAAGCCGCTCCGTCCCCTCCTCACGGTCTCCGGGCACAGGCCCCGCGCCCTGCCATTCCCCCCCTCTCCACCCACCCAGGGCCGCCACGCGTCCCGTGGCCCCTCAGGAGTGGTGGCTGGTGCTGATGAGGCTGCGGAGCTGCTTGGCCACGGCCTCGATCAACTTCTGCTTGTCCCTCTCGTTCTTCCGGAACTGGGCGAAGACGTTGTTCTTCCGGCTGGTGTCCTTCATCCTTGGGGCAGGCGGGAAAAAACAACAACAGACCCCGTCAGACACGAGAACACACACACACACACACGAGACCACGCGAACGCACAGGCGCGCACACTCACGCACCCGGCAGGGGCCCTCTTGAGCTATGGGGACTTTCCTCCGGGGGAGCTGGGGCAAAAGGGGTCAGGGGTCTGCCCGCCGGAAGCTGAGGTCGCCCCACTTCAACGAACCCCCTGACGGAGGCATCTGGAGTGGGGGGGATTCGAATTTTTTTACTACTGGTTCTGTGGGCGTGGCTTGGGCGTGGCACAGCTTGGCGGGTCATGGCAGGGAAGGATATACTGTAAAATCCCCCCTCCCCTCCCCACCCCACTAACCAGCTTTCCAGCTCCCTTCTCCTGTGCAGGGCAACCAAAGAACATCCAGCCGATCAGCTGGGACTCAATGGGAGACAGAGAAGAGATGGGGGTTGGCGGGGCCACTCAGAGGTGGGATTTTCCAGTTCTCCAAACTACTCAAAATTCCCGCTACCGGTTCTCTAGAACCGGTCAGAACCGGCTGAATACCCATTTCTGCATCGGGTACAGAACGAGCTTAATTGTGCAAATGGCCACCGTGTCATCACAAACGCAACTCAGGCCTGTGTCTTTCCACCTTGGCCGCTCGAAGATGGAGTGCAACTCCTGCTGGCTGGAGAATTCTGGGAGTTGAAGTTCCCCCCCACCCCCCCATCTTCATGGGGGGCCAAGGTGGAGAAAGGCTGCTTTGGAAATCTATCAGGCAGGAAACGAAGAGGGGAGGCAGGAGAAGAGGTTGGCGGGTCCCTCCATCTACACAACGGGCAAAAGCAGCCCCCTGAAGGCGGCTCTCCCCGGCCTGCAATGGGTTCACCCCTTGCCCAGGACACTGTGGGCCTCAAGGCACCCCAGCAGAAGGTAGAAGGGAGGCCCCTTGGTGGCCGGAAGGAGCTCTGGAGACCCAGAAGCTGATGGCGCAGACTGAGATGGGCAACGCAGGGCTTCCTTTCCACCTCCAAGACGGGATGAACAGCAGGGCAGGAGGAGAGCTGGCTGGATGAGATGCCTCTCTGGGGCCCCGGCCCGGCCAGCACGGTGGGGATAAGCGGAGGGAGCGGCCAGCGTCTTCTGCAGCCACAAAGCCCTTCCCACAGCTGGGGAAGACACACCTCTAGGGGTCTCAGAGGGGCTTGGCCTCTTGCATGCGCCTCTTGTGGGGTGGCCCTTCCTGATGCATGGGCTATGATGCCCCATCTTTAGAGGAGAAAGTAAGGTATCAAACCCGACCCCGGGGTGCAGCGCTCATCTCTGTTTCCTGGTTGAGGGAGCCACCGTTGTGCGAGGACAATTTCCATGGTCAACGTGGCTACACAGAGAGGCTCACAGAACGCTCTTAGCTTTCCCCCGAAGTGGTACCTATTGATCTACTTGCATTCACATGCTTTCGATCTGCTGGTGGGCAGGAACCGAGGCAAGGAATGGGAGCTCGTTCCGTCTTGTGGAGCTTGAGTCTCGAACCTGGGCTGTCAGCTCTCCATCTGACAAGCTCAGTGGCTTTGACCGCTGTGCCACGGCGTCAAAAGTGGCTCAGCGATCACAGCCTGGGGATGAAGTCCACCAACCGGGGCATTTGAAATAAATGCTACGATTTGCAGGGCTTGACCAAGGGCTTGACCCTTGCAGGTTCTATTGGGGTTCCACACCACAGGTAACAAGGGGAAACGATGGGTCCAAACTCTCAGCCCCAACCGCCCCGTACATACAGAGTGACCGCCAGCCCAGAAGCCGCATTGGGCTCGATGTCTCTGGAGACGCTCTGTCATCCAGGCTGATAGTTGCCCCAAGGGGTACTGGACTTTCTTGGTTTTTTTTCTTTGAAAACATTTCGCTTGCTTGTCCAAGAAGCTTCTTCAGTTCTGGGTGAAGTTCTAACTCGAACAAGTCAGAACTGAAGAAGCTTCTTGGATGGGAAGCGAAAGGTTTTCAAAGAAAAGAAAAAAAAATCAAGAAAGTCCAGTTGCCTTTTGGAAAAAGCACCTTTGGGACATTAGAAGACTCAAGTCCCGGGACGAGTCCTGGGCACCCCTTGCCTTTGTATGGGCTGAGGATGCCAGCAAAGCCACCCCACGCATACTTACTCTCGGGAGATCCTGCCAGGAGGAGGGACGGGGTGGGGAGGAAGGAGAGATAAACCAGAGGAGAAGTTAAGCAGCGGCTGGTACAGCTGTTCTCTCCTATTCCTGGCTCACCCACTGCCCCCAAGCGGCCATGCAAGCCCTGCAGCGCGGAGGAGAGGCAACGGGAAGGGCAGCCAAGGCCGAAGGGCAGCAGTCTGACTAAGCCTTTGCAGGTTCTCCTAAGGACCATGGGGGAACTTGGAGCCTGACCGAGGAGAAGGTGAAGCCCTTTGGTTACAGGACCTCTCACTGCCCCCAGGCTATGGCCCTCGGCCCCACAGTCCTTGGACCTGGTCCCAAAGAGCCCCAACGGCCATCCGTCCCAGCAGCCAAAGTGGCACATGCGAGCACCAGCGCGAGACCCCCCCCTCCTTTGCCAGCCCAGCCCCTTCCTGCCTCCAGCTCTGCTCCTGCAGGGTAACTGTCCGACAGGGGTCTTGCCCGGTCCTGTTCCGTCCCAGGCTTCCCCCAAAAAGCACTCAGCAGACTCTTTGTCACGACCAAACCCCTCTTATTAAATGAAGGTGAATTTCTTGCATTCACATATTCAGCCAAAGACCTGGCAAACAGTCTTTCAGGGGTGCAATTAGGAGCTCAAACCTTATCTATCTCAGAAAGCTGCCTGGTAAATATGTCCAAACGCAGTGCTGACAAGGAAGGGCTCAGCACAGAGTCTCTGAGATGCACAGACAGATCTTCACACTGATGCAACGACGAATTGTTTTCTGCAAAAAAAAAATATATCCCTCCCCTTTTGCTCTTCTTTTAATCCCTATGGGAGGGGCCATTCACCGGCCACTTGTGGCTTTACTCCCACGTCGACCCTTAGTTCGTAACAGTTCTTTTCTTTCGGCAGTTCTGCAGTTCTGGAACCGGCTCCAGCTGCTTCCACGCCTCACTGCTGTCTGACCCCGAAGGCAGCTGATGACTGCCAGACTGCCCTGGCCCCATCTCTGCCTCTGGCGCAGAGCCCTCATCCAAGCCTTCCTCAGCCTCCAGGACTGGCCCAGGTTCCTCCCCAACCTCCTCACTACTGTCCGACTCTTGCTGCTAGCTCCGCCAGCTGCCGGCAGGCCACGACAGGTTCAAGGACCACACGGGGAAGGTCCTCCTGTCACCTTCTCCCAGGGGCCACGCAGGAAGGACCCACCCCAAAGAAAAGGCCTCCAATGCACTCACACATGGCCCTCACCCCAAGAATCTCTTCCTCCCTCACCAATAGTTCAAAATCACATTAGTACCACTTTATAAAGCCTCAACAAGGCCTCATCTGGAATGCTGCAAGCCAGTTTTGGTCCCCAAGTTACAAAAAAAGATGTTGACCCTTTGGAGAAAGTGCAAAGTAGAGCAACTAAAATGATTAAAAGCCTGGAGACTAAAACATATGAAGAACGGTTGCAGGAGTTGGATTTGGCTAGTCTGGAGAAAAGAAGGACTGGGGGGAACATGATAGCAGTATCCCAATATTTGAGGGGCTGCTGCAAAGAAGAGGGGAGGTCAATCTATTCTCCAAAGCACCTGAAGGCAGGACAAGAAGCACCAGATGGAAACTAATCAAGGAGAGAAGCAACCTGGAATTGAGGAGAAACTTCCTAATAGGGAGGACAATTAACCAGTGGAACGACTTGCCTTCAGAAATTGTGGGTGCTCCATTCCTGGAAGCTTTTCAGCAAGAGATTGTCCAGCCATTTGTCCAGAATGGTAACGGGTCTCCCGCTTGATCAGGGGGTTGGACTAGAAGACCTCCAAGGTCCCTTCCAGCTCTACTCTGATGGATTGACTGGCCGATTGAATCCCAGGCCTTTTATCCCCATTGGCCAGTCAGCGTGCATTGGAGACACAACCAGCCGCAGTTGCAAGCATCGCCATAAGCAGAAGCCGCCATGCAAGGCTGGGCCCGTCACGGAGCAAGCCGTACCCCCGGCCACCCACCCTCCGCCCCAGGCATCCTGGGCAAAGGAGGCAGCAAAAGCGGCGGGGGTGGGGGGCGTTGTCAGCGCCCAGAAGGACACACTCACTTTTCCAGTAAAGCCAGCGCGGTCGTCGGATTCACCCGAAGGTACTTGCAGGTGGGCTGCCCGTAGTCAGCCAGATACGTCGACCAGTCCCACTGGAGGAAGAGATCCAGCAGCTGAAAGAGGAAAAGGTGGACCCTGAGACAACCTCGGAAAGCTTGAGAGGCTGTGTCCTTCAAAACCTGTAAGATGACCCTCGCTACGTCAGCGTACCGGGACACAGAAGGCTGAAGGAAGGCATCCCTCTTGGGATTCGACCTCAGGCCTCCCCTAAGCTCTTGCAACAGGTTTCGACGAACGCTAAGAAAAAAACGCTAAGAATCCAAGAAGCTTCTTCCGTTCAACCTTAACCCAGAACTGAAGAAGCTTCTCGGATGAGAAGCGAAACCTCTTCAAGGAAAAAAAAAACCAAGGAAGCCTGTGGAGATTTCTCAGTCCTCCAGATCATGGTGGCCCCAAAGGTGCTTTTTTCAAGAGGCAGCTGGACTTTCTGTTTGTTTTTTGTTTTTTTAAAGATGTTTCGCTTCTCATCCGAGAAGATTCTTCAGTTCAACCCTAACCCAGAACTGAAGAAGCCTCTTGGATGAGAAGCGAAACCTCTTCAAGCAAAAAAACAAGCAAGAAAGTCCAATTGCTTTTTTGGAAAAAAAGCATCTGGATGATGGAGACTCTGCATGGACACCTTGAATGGAGGGCTGCCACCTGAGCAAAATGAGTGGACTGTCCACCCGCTGACCTTGGATCCCTTCTTTCTGGGGCCGAACAGACCCCATTGTCTTGCCAAGAAACTCCTCCAGCAATGGGTGAGCTGGCTAGAGGATCATTTGGGGAGCTCCAGGGGTTTGTGTGTGTGTGTGTGTGTGTGTGTGTGTGTGTGTGTGTGTGTAAGTTTCTACGTAAATCCAGCTGAAAAATGGAAACGGAGAAACCAGATGAACCGATGTCTCGCCTCTTGAAGGAGGCTTGGGGAGCAGAGGCAGGCTGGAGATCTGCGTAAGACATCACGGAGAGAACGGAGCTGCAGCCTCCGTGATCCAGGCCAGGGGTCTCCAACTTGGTCACTTTAATTTTGACCAGTGGAACAGCTGGCCCTCCAGAAGTTGTGGGCGCTTCGTCACTTTTTAGGAAGACAGCTGGACAGCTATCTGTCTGAAATGGTATAGGGAACTGATGGCTTAACCTTTTCCCACATTTGCGTGCCAAAAAGAGCGCACGCTTGCGTGCCTGCACCCATGATGCAATGTGCGTGCGACCCACCACCACCACACACCTCTGGGCATGCGCACACAACCCCGCCGGCACGCCTCTGAGCATGCGTGCGTGGCAGATACCCGACAATCAGCGGGCTGGTGGGGCGCGCAGACGTAGTGAGCCTCTTCCGGGTGACCTCTCTGTGTGCCACTTCTGGCCCGCGTGCCAAAGGTTCGCCCTCGCGGGTATAAGGTCTCCTGCTTGAACAGGGGTTGGTCTAGAAGTCCTCCAAGGTCCCTTCCAACTCTCGTTATTCCGAGTCCGGGCTCCGCCAGCCAAGACCAGCAGACGGGCACAGGTGAAGGATAGCCGGCAGCTCTGCCATCCCTCGGCCCATCCATCTTGTGGACACGCGGTTGGGCCGGGAAGGCTCTGCGGCTGGGCTGCCACACACCCACCCACCCCCCTTTCCTTCACGCGCACGTGGAGAGCGGCTGCAACAACACAACCGGGCTGGGAGGCCTGACAAGGGCTGGAGGATTGATGCGGCCCAGAAATGGGGACTTTCTTCCTTCTCCCCCACTTCAACTTTTCACCTCCTAAATTGGGGCGGGGGGAGAGGGAGGATTCTGGGTGAAGACACCGTGTGGCTCTTGCACCCATCCGGCCACTATCGGCCGGGGCAGATTCCAAAATAAAGATTATGCAAATGCCATTAATCCCTCCGGCCGGAGAGCTGGCTGTGCGGGGGGGCCGTCCATCCCCCTTGGCAATGCGCCCTCCCCAACACACACACACACACACACAGAGACAAGCGCACACCCCTCGTTGGGAAGGAGCCCCCCACTCCACCCTCTCAGCCCTCGAACTCTGGCCTGCAGCAGGGAGGACAACAGCCCCCGCCCTGGGGTATGGGGCGGGGGGGGAGATGGGGAGGGGGCTGCTGGCTTCTTAAGGAGGGGAGGGGCGGAGCTGGGGGAACCCGGGAGGGCCCATGCCTGGTGAAAGGTGTCCTGGAGGAGAAGCCCTGGAGGAGACACAGAAGCTCTCCAGTCCACCCCCCCCCCCCCCATGGTTGGCTCACACATCAGCTGCCCCCCACAGGATGAAGCGCCCAGGTTCCTTCCTCACTCCCCACCCACACCTGGCCAGGAGTCACCTGCAACGTGGGTGGGATTTGGGGAAGAGACCTGGAGAAGCCATCCCAGGGGAGGCAGGGTGGCTGGACCAATCTATAAGCTGAGAGTTTATTCCTTTCCTTTCCTTTCCTTTCCTTTCCTTTCCTTTCCTTTCCTTTCCTTTCTCCTTTCCTTTCCTTTCTCCTTTCCTCTCCTTTCCTTTCCTTTCCTTTCTATCCCCTTCCTTTCTTTCCCCTTTTTATTTTCCTTTCCTTTCTTTTTCTTTCTTTCTTTCCCTTCCTTCCTTCCTCTTTCTCTTCCCCTCCCTCCCTTCGTTTTACCTCTTCCAGTCTCTCCCTCCCTCTCTCTTTTCTTCCTCTCCCTTCTTTCCCTCTTCCCTCCCTCCCCTCCCCGTCTCTTTCTCCTTCTGTCTTTTGAACATTTATCTCGGGAGGTGGAAACGATCTCAGGCAGCTCCCCCAGGTTCTGAAAGGGAACCAGTTAACCGAGGGAGCAGCTCACCGGAGAGGACAAGACTTAAGCCAGGGGTGCCCAACCTTGACAAGCTGACAAGGCTTGTGGACTTCCAATTCCCAGTATCCCCCCAGCCAGCGAAGCAGCAGCCTCCAGAGTCACGAGGACGAAAAAAACCTCTGCTTGCTGAACTGCAGAGAGAAGCTGAAAGGCGGCTTCGGCGGAGGAGGAGGAGGAGGAAGAGGAGGAGGAGAAGACCCTGCCCCATCCAAACCTGCCCCTTCTCTGAGGAAGGCCACCAGGTGCCCTTCAGAGCTGCCGCTAGGGTGGGCTTCACACATATTAGCAACGGGGTCTCTGCCCGGTTGCTGGGTGGGCCTGGCCATGGTGGGTGTGGCCTAGTTGGCCTCCTGTACCATGGGGGGGGCGTTTTTGTCCTCCCCGGGCTCCCGAGGGTTTCCTCAAGCATCCAGGAGGGCGAAAATGGCCTCCCTGGGCCCCGGAGGCTCTCTGGAAGCCAGGAAACGGGCCCATTCCTAGCCTGCCCAAACTTCCGGGAGGCTCGTTTTTCACCCTCCCTGAGCTTCCGTGCACCCCCTGCACTTCCCTGCGTCCAAAATGGGCCGAGTGGGACTCCTGGGAGAGGAGGGGCAGGGTGGGCGGAGCCAGCCAGGAGTGGAGGATCTGGGGGTTGTCCGAACTGCACCGATATCTTAAGCTAGCGGCTCTCCCGAACCCGCAGCATCCCACCCCTTGTCCAGCACCCGTGTGTTTTTAAGGCAGGGCAGCGTTGGGGGCGCCCTCTCTCGGAACTGCTCTTCTCCCTTCTGCAGACAGGATGTTTTTATTCACGAACCCGGCATCATGATAGAAACCCAACCGAAGAAACCACAGCACTTGCGCCCTGCTTGCCAAAGATAACCCATCCTGAAGGCCTGGCTCCCCTGCAGCGGACAGAAACCCTGAAGGAAATTCAGATTACAAAAGCAATTAGCCGGAAAGTTGGAGTGGGGGCGGGGGTAACCCACCCAGAGAATAAAGGCTAGGACAGCCCATGCCCACCGAAGGAGCTGAGATGCCACCAGCCGCCCGGTCGGAGTTACTCATCAGGCAGCTCCAGCGGCCCCCTGCGTGGTGCAACACAGGGGCTCCTCCGAGTAAGGCAGGGCTCTTCCTGGCAGGGGAGGGGGCTGCTTCCCACAGGCCCTGCGTCACGGTCCAGCATCCCCCTCCAAGCTTCGCGCACCTGCCAAATGGCCAACGTCATCCACCTTCCCTACCGGGGCCTCCCAAATATGCTAATTTTTGGCTCCGGCAATTCCCACCGGGAAGGGCTGCAGACATTCCAGCTCCCTCCACATCACCCTGCTCTGGTTCCCAGGAAGCCCTCGCCCTGAGACCCTCCCTCCTTAGTTCAGAAAGAGACTTAAATTTGAAATAATGGGTAGCAATCCCCTCCACTCATGGCGCCTGAGTTAACATGACAGGGGTCTTCCTAGGACAGAGTGGAGGAGGCCAGGCTGCAAACCGGACCTTCTACTCATCTGCCCTCCGAGCACGCTTCTTCCCTCCAGAAATGGTGGGAGCTCCATCACTGGAGATCTTCAAGAAGAGACTGGGCAGCTGTTTGTCTGGAACGGCTTAGGACAGGTGTCAGCAACCGGTGGCTCCAGAGCCTCATGAGGCTCTTTGGGCCCTCTGCAGTGGCTCCCTGCTGGGTGATCCCACCACTGGCTGGCCCTGCCCCTCGCCCTCCCCTCTCAGTCACCCCTCGCCTGGGCTGAGAAGTTAAAACACAGAAAACAGAAATAAGAGGGAGAGAGGGGGAGAGAGAGGGGGAGAGAGAGAGAGAAAAAGACAGAGAGAGAGAGAGAGAGAGGGACAGAAGGAAAGAGGGAGACCCCTTTCTCACAGAAAACACCGGGAGCCACAAAACCTGGGTAGGTGTGGCAGGGGGTGTCATGTGACTAGGTGGGAGTGACGTTGAGTTGGCCACATGCAACCAGGTTTTGTGGCTCCCGGTGTTTTCTTTTCTGTGGGAAACAGGACCAAATGGCTCTTTTGAGTGTTTAAGGTTGCAGGCCCCTGGCTTAGGGTTAGGGGGCTAGACTAGAGGACCTCTGAGGTCCCTTCCAACTCTGGTATCCTATTATTCGGGCCCTTCTCTGAAGCGGCACTAGGAGAAATTTCCTGACAGCCACAACGATTAATCAATAGAACAATTTGCCTCCAGAAATTGTGAACTCTCCAACACGGGAAGTTTGCAAGAAGAGACTGGACAGCCACTTGTCTGAAATGGTATAGACTTCCCTGCCCAAGCAAGGGGTTGGGCT